CAAACCTTAGAACATTCAGTTTTTCCTTCTACCACCCTACCACCATCTCTTCCAGAGTCCTGAAGATCCAGAAGTGTTCCCTCTTTCCCGGTTCCAGTTTCCCTTTAATTATTGTTTTGTTTATTCTTATCAAAAAATAAATGTTGATCTGTCTCCTGGCTCATTGTTGTACTAGCTAAAGAGTACACTTGAATTTGTTAGATCATAACACTTTAAGTGTTTTGAATTGATCTGTTTTCTACATCTGTATTGATCGGATGTTCCTGTATTTTTTCTTTTATTTTGGTGACATGACCATTTTGATACCTTATTCTTGACATGGTTATATCTATGACCTCATGGGTGAATGCACATTCCTTTTCCTACATTAAAAGGGTGCTAATACCTCAATGTAAACTAAATTTCATGGGATGGCTGTTACCATTTCCTCCACACATTCAGTGATTTACTGACCTTTTCTTTAAAGCAAAGAAATGGTCAGTAATTACCACAGCTGACTGGTAAATGGAAGTACCCTATATACAATTTAATCATTCAGTTGGTGCAGCTGTTAGCCATTTCCCTGAAGTATACATCCATCATGCCAACATAATCCAGTATGTGCCTATTACTTATAGCATGCAGCTCAGTGACCATAAATATAGAGGGCAGTAACACCTCTTAAAAAAGCAAGGGGATAAACCAAGCTTACAATCAAATCACAATAACTATAAAAAAAACATATTTTGCAACTTAACAATTCCAGTTTTAGATTTTTTATTGAGTGCCAGTTTTTATATCCAGTAGTTATGTTGTGCACATCACAGTGTGGAAGCAAATAACAAGCTTATTGTGTATTTAAAATAGTAGATTGTTGGTAAAGTGTAGTAACTTAGTAGGTTATCACACCATTGAAGGCTTTTTTCATTAATGGTGCCCCGAGGGAGACCTTTCTTTGGTTACTTGTCACACAACTAATCATTTATCAAATCCCGAACAAAACTAATCAACAATACTTTATGCAGTGCATGCGGTTCTAGACCAAATTTAACATGGGTGTCTGGGTTGGCCTTTGGTTTTTTCATAAGGGCATGTGACAAAAAAAAAAAAAAAAAAAAAAAAAAGTATTGTAAGTGACCTGCAAAGTAAAGGTTGTAGACCCCTTGTCTAACAGATAAAATCAGTGATCCTATTTTAAAATACTTAAATGTAACAAATCTTAATTTCTAGATTACTGTTAAGGTACAATAAAAAGATATATTAAACGGGTCCACGAGGCCAGTCTCTTCTGTTAGAGCATGTCATGATGAGAAATGTATGTAGTATTATGTATTCAGTACATGCGACGCATTATGGCCCAGAACCATTTCTACAGTTGCACTTGCCCCTGTTGCCCCATGACATGCCCTCGCTATGACAATTATAAATGTTGCCATTTAGATGTGAGGTTCGCTGTTCATGTGCTGAACAGGGCCTAGTGATGTTAAACTCTACTCAGTCAAGGATTTGAGATTCATGCTTCAGATCATGGGTTTTACTATTTATAGTTTAAATCAGAGGAAGTTCAGAATTGATTTAAAATAGTTAGCTACGTACACATACAGGTGCTGGTCATAAAATTAGAATATCATGAAAAAGTAGATTGATTTCAGTAATTCCATTTAAAAAGTGAAACTTGTATATTATATTCATACATTACATACAAACTCATATATTTCAGATGTTTATTTTGTTTAATTTTGATGATTACAAATGACAACAAATGAAAATCTCAAATTCATCATATCAGAAAATTAGAATATTGTGAAAAGGTTCAAAATTGATGGCCCCTGGTGCCACACTCTAATCAGCTAATTAACTCAAACCACCTGCAAAAGCCTTTAAATGGTCTTTCAGTCTAGTTCTATAGGCTACACAATCATGGGGAAGACTGCTGACTTGACAGTTGTCCAAAAGACGACCATCGACACCTTGCACAAGGAGGGCAAGACACAAAATGTCATCGCTAAAGAGGCTGGCTGTTCACAGAGCTCAGTGTCCAAGCACATTAATAGAGAGGCGAAGGGAAGGAAAAGATGTGGTCGAAAAAAGTGTACAAGCAAGAGAGATAACCGCACCCTGGAGAGGATTGTGAAACAATACCCATTCAAAAATGTGGGGGAGATTCACAAAGAGTGGACTGCAGCTGGAGTGAGTGCTTCAAGAACCACCACACACAGACGTATGAAAGACATGGGTTTCTGCTGTCGCATTCCTTGTGTCAAGCCACTCTTGAACCACAGACAGCGTCAGAAGCGTCTTGCCTGGGCTAAAGAGAAACAGGACTGGACTGCTGGTGAGTGGTCCAAAGTCATGTTCTCTGATGAAAGTAAATTTTGCATTTCCTTTGGAAATCAAGGTCCCAGAGTCTGGAGGAAAAGAAGAGAGGCACTTCATCCACGTTGCTTGAAGTCCAGTGTAAAGTTTCCACAGTCAGTGATGGTTTGGGGTGCCATGTCATCTGCTGGTGTTGGTCCATTGTGTTTTCTGAGGTCCAGGGTCAACGCAGCCACATACCAGGAAGTTTTAGAGCACTTCATGCTTCCTGCAGCTGACCAACTTTTTGGAGATGCAGATTTCATTTTCCAACAGGACTTGGCACCTGCACACAGTGCCAAAGCTACCAGTACCTGGTTGAAGGACCATGGTATCCCTGTTCTTAATTGGCCAGCAAACTCTCCTGACCTTAACCCCATAGAAAATCTATGGGGTATTGTGAAGAAGAAGATGCAATACACCAGACCCAACAATTCAGAAGAGCTAAAAGCCACTATTAGAGCAACCTGGGCTATCATAACACCTGAGCAGTGCCACAGACTGATCGACTCCATGCCACGCCGCATTGCTGCAGTAATACAGGCCAAAGGAGGCCCAACTAAATACTGAGTGCTGTACATGCTCATACTTTTCATGTTCATACTTTTCAGTTGGCCAACATTTCTATAAATCCTTTGTTTTTATTGGTCTTCAGTAATATTCTAATTTTCTGATATGATGAATTTGAGATTTTCATTTGTTGTCATTTGTAATCATCAAAATTAAACAAAATAAACATCTGAAATATATGAGTTTGTATGTAATGTATGAATATAATATACAAGTTTCACTTTTTAAATGGAATTACTGAAATCAATCTACTTTTTCATGATATTCTAATTTTATGACCAGCACCTGTAGATCTAAACTAGACACACACACAAAAAAACTTGTCTCACTATCTTTGCAGGGCATTTCCTTTGACTTCCATACATTTTTTTTACAGCCTAACCCTAAAACTTAACCTTACATGTTCATACCTTGCCCTAACCCCTCACTAAACACAATGTGGTATTTTTCCCAGAACATGGGCCTCACAATGTGTTTAAAACAAGGATACAAACATAGATACATACTCACACCTACACAGTATACTGATTAATTTATAACAGATATTTATTCACACAGCACATCTAAACAGGCTATAGACTTGAGTAGCTAGATCAGGCAATTTTAGTGTATACTGTAGATAAAGAAAAGATTTGTGTGAGTCTGGCATTGAATTGAAATGTGTATGTTGTGCCATATGCCATGATCATACTTTTTGGACATTGGGAAGCAGTGTCCATATTTCATCCTGATAGGATGACCAGAGAAGAAAACGCAGCTTTGATGAATAACAGCTTGGGGACTTCAGCAGCCCCCCCCTTTTCAGCCACATGGAAGTCACAGAGGTGTGACCAACCACCACCCCCCCCCCTCTGTGAGGGCAGAACAAAACCACAGAGCACACAGGATTCTTGCTCTCTTTTGCCTCTTCTCTCTTTCTCCCTCGTCTGATCCAGCCTGCTTCTGCTCCTGCGCTCAAAGCTGGGGCCCACTGTGGCCCACAGTGGAGATGCAGGCCCAGGGGAACCAGATCCCCAGAACCATCAAGGATGAGTCAGAACTCTTCAGAACCTAACTGCTGCAAACAGAACCTTTGCAACACATGTCTCTTGAGTTTCAGAACTTACAGAGCCAAACTGGATGAAGACCATGCCCTGGTGTGAGACTGAGGGGACCCCTGCTGTGAGACTGAGACAAAGAGCCCCTGACTGCAGAGCTGCAAAACTGGATGAAACTCAAGCTTTCCAAACGGACATGGAAAAAGGTTTGCAGGTCTGGCATGATTAGGGACAGAACAAGCAATATGTCTTTTGATGATGCTAATCATATCGTGTGTTTACTGCTGAGTAAAGACAACGCTAATTGATGCTAAAGAATGGACTGCATGCTACGCTATGCTACAGGAATATGTGTTGAGCTGTTGCTAAAGCTTAGACCAGCTTTATTCACTAAGGATTTAAACACTGATCTAACATTAGTGTTCATGTGTTCCTCAGATGCTCATTACATTTCCATTACCAAGTATGACCAAGAGTCATTTAGTGGAAGCCTGATGTCTATTCGCTGCTAGCTATTTCAAAGAGGGTAAAGAATCATTTAACTAAAGGTTATTGGTTCCTGATTAAGCAAATCATTTAATAAAACATTATTTGGCCAAATAATGTTTTATTCACCTCATGGATTTGCATTGTGAATTGGTCTGAAAACATTCCAATTTCTTTAAAATTAGTGAAAAGCTAATTTGATCATATCCCAAATTCTTCCAGATAAACTTTGGTTTCAAACACCGAATCCATCTTAACCTGTAATATGTTTTTCAACCGGTTTCCCCTTCCTCTTTGTACATAGTAGTTAGTTTAGTTTAGTTGAGTTTTACTAGTCTTAGTTGAGAGTGTTAAACTGAAATATGTTTGACGTGGAGCTGAATGATTTTTGTTAATAAAATCTTATATTTTGAACAGAAGTTGTGGTGAATTTATTCCATGTATGTGCAGAATTAACTGTTTGACCATGATTAGTGCTCGAATCACTCTTTCATTTATTGTTCTAACACACAGTTAGTAGGACTGTGTGTCATAAACAGTGTATAACAGCTGAAATAATATCTAATTAAATAAGATATTTTACCACCCCTACAGGGGAGGGCAATAAACATCTTAAAGTATCAGAAACATTAATTCCCAGCGGGCTGGGAATAGAATTTAACTATAGAATCACAACATAAATATGGCGTCCCTGATTGCTGGGCCCATTAATTGTAACATTTATTTAGCGTCCCATGCGACTGGGCTCATTGAATGTAACATTTAATTGGTGTCTCAGTTTGGTCATCGAATACAACGGTCATTCTGCACATATATGAGAATAAACTTAGAGCCATTATTGAAAACCGTGTGAAAGCATTAACATCAGCTCTCACCACTCAATAATGAAATCTTAAACTCACAACCTAAGAATCCAATACCAGATGTCTTAGCTTATATGAGTAGAAAATATAACCTTTGACATTATTGGAGCATCAAAATATAGAACATTTAACAACATCTAATAACTCCAAAATATCTCTCCAGCTAGTGATAACCAACTTTACTTCAAAGCAAAACTCAGATGATTCAAATCAATCTGATCACTTTGGTCCAACTAAAACTAAAAGATTTAACTCCCAAGTTAGTCTTATCGTTCGACCAAAATTTATGCACATCTATACCTAGATGCTGCCATTTGTGGTTTCTATAACCACATCCCAAAATTGAAAACTCCCAAGTTATGCTATTTCAAAGTCACCTCCAGTCCAAAATAGGTTAGATGCCTCGAAATTTAACCTCAATCCCTTTGTCTATTAGTCTAATAAGACTCCTAAACACTTATTTTATATTGTGTAGAGCAAGATTTGTTGCCAGATTTAACGTAAGTTAATCTGTGATCCTACCCGACCAAAAGGGGGTGGATTCAAATTAAATTGCTTAAAATCCCTTAAAGAAAGGTGAATCATAAGCAAAATTGCTTGTAAGTCCTTAAAAGGTAAGCTTTGCGCCAAACTGCTTATAAATCCTCAGAGACAGGTAAAGCATGCGCTAAAATAGCTGGTAAATCCTAAACAAGGTGTAGCATTTTTAACACTGAAAGAAAAGTGTTTCTTTGATATCACAGAAAAGGGTGAAGCAAAAGCAAAATTGCTTGTAAGTCCTTAAAAGGTAAGCTTTGCGCCAAACTGCTTATAAATCCTCAGAGACAGGTAAAGCATGCGCTAAAATAGCTGGTAAATCCTAAACAAGGTGTAGCATTTTTAACACTGAAAGAAAAGTGTTTCTTTGATATCACAGGGTTAAAGATAACCCGTGACCCGTTTCTACACACATAAAATAAGTCCTTACAATATGTATATGTAAATATACAAGTATAGTGGGTATTGACTGGATTGTGTTCTTTTGAAATTTCTTCATAACTTGTGTTTTTGTGCCATCAGCTGAAAATGGATCCAAGCATCCTCAATTCTGGGCACACCATTGACTCCATAGGCATAGAGAAACAGAAACAAATTGTTGCAAAGCTTATCCACTTATCCCCAGAAAAGCAGGATAACCTAAACAATTTTAACCTCAGCCTATGTGAAGAAAAGATTCAAGAATTAATTAACTTAATTCAAAACCCAAATGGAAACTTTCTGATAACAGATGTACTCTGTGAGCTCACGCTTCTTTATCAGCTTAAATCCCAAATCAAAGCTAAACAGTACTCTGAGTTAGAAGCCAAATATCAGATGATCTTCCACAGAGTAAGTGCTGCAAACATTTTATTGTCAGGAGCTGACAAGATCAAAGACCCATGTGGCCAGACTGACCATGCCTCAGAACAAACAGTGACCCCCCTCTTGGAGAAGCTATGCAATAAACAAAGCAAGCAGACTTTGAATCAACAGGAGGTCACCCCAGTCAAAAGGAGAACAGTTCCTGAAGCAGATACAAAGTCTCTAAACTCTGAGTTAACACTAAATAGATCTGAAGATGTTCAAAATCAAAGTAGTGTCGCAGACAGAGAGAAACAAGTAGATCACTTGGTAAACTCAAGCGGTTTAAAATTTTGCAAAGGACAGCCATGCAAACCAATCTCTGTCTCACTCTCCGTTGACCGAGCATCAAGTGCCAAAGTTCACACCTTGAAAAACTCTGAGGAGAACCAGTCTCCCTTGTGTCATCAAAGGTTAGCTCAAAACCCCCCACCACTTAATGAGCAGAACCAGCTTCCTGACGGGCCAGGTCCACAGAGTGACCATAGAATTCAACAAATTGAATCCTTGGCCAAAGACATTGATATTTTTGACCCAGAAAATCAACACTCCAACATAGCTGATTATCTGCAAGAAGTTGAGCACTGTCTAAAACACAGGTGGCAAACTGGTTCCAGAAAGAGCCGTGTGGCTGCAGGTTTTCTTTCCAACCAAGCAATGGCACACCAGACTCCATTCATCTCATCAAGTCATCATGTTCAGATTGGACTCACTTGATGAGATGAATGGAGTCTGGTGTGCCATTGCTTGGTTGGAAAGAAAACCTGCAGCCACACGGCTCTTTCTGGAACCAGTTTGCCACCCCTGGTCTAAAAGACTTGCCATTCCCTTCTTCTCGTGAGAAACTGAAGCTGATTTGGAAAACAACAGCTAGAAGCGTCCATGTTTTCATAAAATCTCTTCCTTCAAAAATCAGAGAAAGTTATTCAGCTCTTTGTCAAACCTTAAGAGAAGAATATTCTGGTTACAGAGATCCGGCGTTAGCAACGCTTGAGGCATCTTTAGTTCTCCAAGGAGAACAAGAAACACCCAGAGAATATTACTTTCGCTTGAGACAGGTTTATTTTGAGGGCTGCAGTTCTCCAGATATTGACGAAGAAGATCACACATTTAAAGCATTGTTCATCCAAAATCTACATGAAAGTGTACGATATGATGTAGCAATGCATTGCAGGATAGAAAACCTTCTATGCAGGAAACTCGCAGATATGCTCAGCTTGTTTGGGAAATACGTCTCAAATCAGATAGATTTCAAATCAAGCTTAGAGTTTTTAACCTTCAAACAAAGAACAGGAACAGAAACAGACACAGATTCAGTTCCCCAGTGGTTCACCAAGATGAAGGAATTAATGACTTGAGAGAACGAAAACCTGAACCCCCAGATAAAGGTCATAAACCTTCACATCACAGTGCAAAATCAAAGGTTTACACTGGTAAAGGGGGGTATCAACAAGCTACAGAAACAACAACAAAAGAAAACTTAGAACAGATCTGCAAAACAGTTCTTACAGAGCTACTGGCTTCTCTGACCAATCACAAAGTACTACAATTCCAAGCTAATGGTAAAACTTATCATATCCAAGAGTATGATAGTTGCTGATAATTTCTAACATACTTTAACCTATTTAATCCTTTCTTTCTTTTGTTTCACAACTTGAGAAATGATGAAGGTTGAACAACAGCGTCATGAAGGTGTTAGGAAATTTTGTTAGGAATGTATATATTTGTGTATCAGGGTCAGACTTTCCTGCCAGACCTGCTTCAACCAGACGCAAAACCTCTGGAGAAAATGAACTGTTTTATGATAAGATAGGGTCAGCTTCTGCCAGACCTGCAACAAATCCTCCAGGGACAAACACTGGAGAAGATATGAACCCTAAATGAACTTTCTTCCTGCCAACAGGAACCTGACTCATCACCGCTCCAGATCTCATTGCTTTATGGACCTATTTGTGATCTGAAAACAAAGAACTGCATCTTTTATTTCCAGATCAAAAGGGGGATATGTTGTGCCATATGCCATGATCATACTTTTTGGACATTGGGAAGCAGTGTCCATATTTCATCCTGATAGGATGACCAGAGAAGAAAACACAGCTTTGATGAATAACAGCTTGGGGACTTCAGCAGCCCCCCCTTTTTCAGCCAAAGCAGCCACATGGAAGTCACAGAGGTGTGACCAACCACCCCCCCCCCCTCTGTGAGGGCAGAACAAAACCACAGAGCACACAGGATTCTTGCTCTCTTTTGCCTCTTCTCTCTTTCTCCCTCGTCTGATCCAGCCTGCTTCTGCTCCTGCGCTCAAAGCTGGGGCCCACTGTGGCCCACAGTGGAGATGCAGGGCCAGGGGAACCAGATCCCCAGAACCATCAAGGATGAGTCAGAACTCTTCAGAACCTAACTGCTGCAAACAGAACCTTTGCAACACATTTCTCTTGAGTTTCAGAACTTACAGAGCCAAACTGGATGAAGACCATGCCCTGGTGTGAGACTGAGGGGACCCCTGCTGTGAGACTGAGACAAAGAGCGCCTGACTGCAGAGCTGCAAAACTGGATGAAACTCAAGCTTTCCAAACGGACATGGAAAAAGGTTTGCAGGTCTGGCATGATTAGGGACAGAACAAGCAATATGTCTTTTGATGATGCTAATCATATCGTGTGTTTACTGCTGAGTAAAGACAACGCTAATTGATGCTAAAGAATGGACTGCATGCTACGCTATGCTACAGGAATATGTGTTGAGCTGTTGCTAAAGCTTAGACCAGCTTTATTCACTAAGGATTTAAACACTGATCTAACATTAGTGTTCATGTGTTCCTCAGATGCTCATTACATTTCCATTACCAAGTATGACCAAGAGTCATTTAGTGGAAGCCTGATGTCTATTCGCTGCTAGCTATTTCAAAGAGGGTAAAGAATCATTTAACTAAAGGTTATTGGTTCCTGATTAAGCAAATCATTTAATAAAACATTATTTGGCCAAATAATGTTTTATTCACCTCATGGATTTGCATTGTGAATTGGTCTGAAAACATTCCAATTTCTTTAAAATTAGTGAAAAGCTAATTTGATCATATCCCAAATTCTTCCAGATAAACTTTGGTTTCAAACACCGAATCCATCTTAACCTGTAATATGTTTTTCAACCGTTTTCCCCTTCCTCTTTGTACATAGTAGTTAGTTTAGTTTAGTTGAGTTTTACTAGTCTTAGTTGAGAGTGTTAAACTGAAATACGTTTGACGTGGAGCTGAATGATTTTTGTTAATAAAATCTTATATTTTGAACAGAAGTTGTGGTGAATTTATTCCATGTATGTGCAGAATTAACTGTTTGACAATGATTAGTGCTCGAATCACTCTTTCATTTATTGTTCTAACACACAGTTTGTAGGACTGTGTGTCATAAACAGTGTATAACAGCTGAAATAATATCTGATTAAATAAGATATTTTACCACCCCTACAGGGGAGGGCAATAAACATCTTAAAGTATCAGAAACATTAATTCCCAGCGGGCTGGGAATAGAATTTAACTATAGAATCACAACATGTATGACTAACTGAGTAGAGTAAGGAAGGGACATGGAGGGAGTGCGATAGAGAAACTGCTGTATTATATATTTATTTATGCTGCTCATTTAATATGTTCACCTTTATCAGGCAGAACCAATAGAGGAACAAGCCATGAGAACGTGGAAAACTTTTAGGAACTACTGGACAGCAGAGTTGGTTTGCATCATTTCAATAATCAAGACATATTCAGAACTATTTCAAGGATAATTTCTTAACATATTTATTTTGTTGTAGGTGCAGAACCCAGAAAACATGCAGCAGTACTGTAGCCACCATGCTGAAAATACAAAGATCTAGCTCTTGGGAGGAATTATCCATCTAAATATACACCCAAAAGTTTATCAAATATATCAAGCTTGGTTTTGAGCTTTGTCCAGTTGTGTTAACTTGGTTCAAGGGGCTTCAAAACTGGCCTCACTTACAGAGCCACTCATCAGTAGCACGCTTGTATAAGACAGCAGCAAGAACAGGTATTTTACAGCTTCTAAAAGGGCTATGCAAAGCCCACAACAATAATAACATTTTTATTATCATGTCTCTAGATATACAATACAAAGGGCCGGATTTATCAAGATCCAATTTTGCGTGCAGTAATTTGCGCTCGCAAACTGGAATTTTGCGCGAGGGGCTGAACCATGGTTTGCGGGTGATTTAACAAGAGAGATTGCGTAACTGGTGGCAGGTGCAAAACTGTTGGAGACGCCCTATTTAAATGATGGTTTTGCGCGTTTTGTGGTTTGCGGCAAAGTAGTTTGTATTTGTAACTAGTGCATTAAGAAATTTAAATCTTACAGTAACACCCCCACCCCCTCCAAAAAGAAAAAAAAAAAAATATATATATATATATATATATATATATACAGGTGCTGGTCATAAAATTAGAATATCATGAAAAAGTAGATTGATTTCAGTAATTCCATTTAAAAAGTGAAACTTGTATATTATATTCATACATTACATACAAACTCATATTTCAGATGTTTATTTTGTTTAATTTTGATGATTACAAATGACAACAAATGAAAATCTCAAATTCATCATATCAGAAAATTAGAATATTACTGAAGACCAATAAAAACAAAGGATTTATAGAAATGTTGGCCAACTGAAAAGTATGAACATGAAAAGTATGAGCATGTACAGCACTCAGTATTTAGTTGGGCCTCCTTTGGCCTGTATTACTGCAGCAATGCGGCGTGGCATGGAGTCGATCAGTCTGTGGCACTGCTCAGGTGTTATGATAGCCCAGGTTGCTCTAATAGTGGCTTTTAGCTCTTCTGAATTGTTGGGTCTGGTGTATTGCATCTTCTTCTTCACAATACCCCATAGATTTTCTATGGGGTTAAGGTCAGGAGAGTTTGCTGGCCAATTAAGAACAGGGATACCATGGTCCTTCAACCAGGTACTGGTAGCTTTGGCACTGTGTGCAGGTGCCAAGTCCTGTTGGAAAATGAAATCTGCATCTCCAAAAAGTTGGTCAGCTGCAGGAAGCATGAAGTGCTCTAAAACTTCCTGGTATGTGGCTGCGTTGACCCTGGACCTCAGAAAACACAATGGACCAACACCAGCAGATGACATGGCACCCCAAACCATCACTGACTGTGGAAACTTTACACTGGACTTCAAGCAACGTGGATGAAGTGCCTCTCTTCTTTTCCTCCAGACTCTGGGACCTTGATTTCCAAAGGAAATGCAAAATTTACTTTCATCAGAGAACATGACTTTGGACCACTCACCAGCAGTCCAGTCCTGTTTCTCTTTAGCCCAGGCAAGACGCTTCTGACGCTGTCTGTGGTTCAAGAGTGGCTTGACACAAGGAATGCGACAGCAGAAACCCATGTCTTTCATACGTCTGTGTGTGGTGGTTCTTGAAGCACTCACTCCAGCTGCAGTCCACTCTTTGTGAATCTCCCCCACATTTTTGAATGGGTTTTGTTTCACAATCCTCTCCAGGGTGCGGTTATCTCTCTTGCTTGTACACTTTTTTCGACCACATCTTTTCCTTCCCTTCGCCTCTCTATTAATGTGCTTGGACACTGAGCTCTGTGAACAGCCAGCCTCTTTAGCGATGACCTTTTGTGTCTTGCCCTCCTTGTGCAAGGTGTCGATGGTCGTCTTTTGGACAACTGTCAAGTCAGCAGTCTTCCCCATGATTGTGTAGCCTATAGAACTAGACTGAAAGACCATTTAAAGGCTTTTGCAGGTGGTTTGAGTTAATTAGCTGATTAGAGTGTGGCACCAGGGGCCATCAATTTTGAACCTTTTCACAATATTCTAATTTTCTGATATGATGAATTTGAGATTTTCATTTGTTGTCATTTGTAATCATCAAAATTAAACAAAATAAACATCTGAAATATATGAGTTTGTATGTAATGTATGAATATAATATACAAGTTTCACTTTTTAAATGGAATTACTGAAATCAATCTACTTTTTCATGATATTCTAATTTTATGACCAGCACCTGTATATATATATATATATATATATATATATATATATACACTCACCGGCCACTTTATTAGGTACACCTTTCCAACTGCTGGTTAACACTTAATTTCTAAGCAGCCAGTCACATGGCGGCAACTCAGTGCATTTAGGCATGTAGACATGGTCAAGACAATCTCCTGCAGTTCAAACCGAGCATCAGTATGGGGAAGAAAGGTGATTTGAGTGACTTTGAACGTGGCATGATTGTTGGTGCCAGAAGGGCTGGTCTGAGTATTTCAGAAACTGCTGATCTACTGGGATTTTCACGCACAACCATCTCTAGGGTTTACAGAG